TATTCTATTTTTTTAAGTAGGTAATAACTACTAATAGTTTTCTATTATAGATTATCTAGTTTACTTTATATACTAGTAGTTTTTATAATAGGTAAGTAACTATATATAAAGCTTTACTTTTATTCTTCTAGAGTAGTACTACTTTAAAATCTTATCTTAAGAAGTTATATTTACTAATTATAAAATAATTAAAGTTAAATCAAACTAAGACTTTGTCTAAGAGAAACCCTTTTATTAAAGTAGTAAATCTTAACTTCTATTTAGGTCTCTGTTTAAGCTTCTTATTCTTCTTAGTTAGGTATATAAAAGGTTTTATAAGTTTAAAGAAGTTAGAGATCAATCTATAGTAGAAGTCAATAAAGCTTAGAAACTTTTATACTTCTTATATAGTAAATAGTACTTTTTATTCTTAGAAAATTTTTATCTTATCTAGATCTATAGATATACTTTATTCTAGTTAGAGAAGAAATCTAAGATATTTTCTATATTAGATATTAAATATATATTTCTTTAACTTTAGTTATAGCTTTATAGTTTAGAGATACTCTATAATATATTCTATATATTTTTAGTATTACTCTTATAAGCTATCTATATAGATAAAAATACTATCTAAATAAGCTATGATAAAGTTTTCTAGAAAGTTCTATAGTATTTAATGAATTTATTTTTATGATATACTTAGTATATCTATAAATCTAAAGAGAGTTATTAGCTACTTATTTAAGCTACAGTATATTTAGAAAATAGTTTTCTATTCTTTTCTCTTTATAACATGGATATAGTAGAAAACTATTATAATATTAAGCTTTATACACTATTTTATCTATTTAACTTAGTTTAGTATTTTATAAATAAGTAGAAGACAGTAATAGTCTTTTTAGCTTATTATATTTAGAGCGTAGTAGTAAATATAGAATTATAGCTCTTTTCTAGATTTTTATATAAATAAAATAGATAAGGCTATAGAATAGATACTTATAGAAAAAAATCTCTTCTTAAGTAGCTTATATAATATCTTTCTTAGTACAAAAAGTTTATCTTTTAATATACTATTGAGTAGTCTATATAGAGCTTTTAATATTTTTTTATTCTTATTAGATATAAATCTAATTCAGTAATTCACTTTTAAACCTTTTAGAGAAGATCATCTTTTTTTTCTTCTTCTAGTATAAATAGATCCAATATGGTTATAGATAGATAGAGATTTAATATCTTACTTTTTCTTCTATAAAAAGTATCTCGAAGCGTAAAGCTTTTTCAATATTTTAAAGACTTATAGTAAATACTTATATAGCTAGCTACTTTTTATTTTATTATATTTAAAACCTAAACATAGCTATAGAGACTAGAAGAGATTTTTTTCTTATATAGAGGTCTTAGTACACAGAACTAAAATCCTATAGTAGTAAAAGTATAAGTATTATAATAAGGCGTTAATTATGCTATCTAAATTTTCTAGTAAGATTTTACTTAGAATTATCTTATATATATATCAATAAAGTAATATAAATAGCTATTTATTATTTTATTCTTTTAATATTAATAGCAAACTCTCTAATAGCTTATATAAGGCTTCTTTAGCTTTTTACTTGTTTAACTATATAGAGTTTTATTAGTACATATAGTAAGTTAAGATCTCAAAAAAATATTTTATTAACTATAAAGTATATATAATAACTTTGATTAATTATAGTTATAGTATTCTTAGAACTATTAATAATTAGTGTGGTAAACGGGTCTCCACCTTCGGGATCGTTTTTTCTAATTATTTCAGCCAAATATTACCCAATCAAGAA